GCCGAACTGTTGGACTAGGCTTGCCTTGTTTTGTATTTCTCAAGATATTCTTTAGGCGCTGACAGAAGTGATGTTTTGTCACAGAAGTGATCAGCCATTGAAAGCACTCTACAACCAAGCACTGAGAGAAGTACATGGCTGCAGAGTACTTTAAAAAGTGCCTGATTGTCTGACAAATGAACCCTCATTACATGAAGGCTCAGACTAAGGTGCTCCAAAGCAGAGAACCTTCATTAACTTCTGTTAGTACAGGACAGGAGCAGAGCTAAGCTGAAGTAGCCAGTGCTGACTATAGGATGGGAGGGGAAAAGGAAGGGGAGAGATTTCTGTCTCGGGTTTGATCAGCCTGTGCTGGAGGTTTGGGCTGGTAGATTGGAACCACCCCCCAAGAGGAGGGAGGCTCCAATCCACCCACCCCACAACTCCAGTGCAGCACAGGCAAACCCCAGAATGGACCTCCCTCCCCTGCCTTCTCTCCCTTCCATCCTGAGACAGCACCAGGGCTGGGAGAGGTTGGTGAGGCTAGGGGAGAGAGGCTGCAGACATGTAGCCTCTCTCACTGGTTTGGCTCCAAAGTGAAGCTCAATCCCCCACCCTTCCAACCCAATAATGAACATCCGTTCGGTCGGGAAGGTCAGTCTATCGCATGGTGCTTTCTGTGAAGTGCCATGAGTTAGACTGGGGGAGCTGCATGTCTGTCAGCACCCTTTGGGATAGGAAATGTATCTTATCTATTGTCCCAGTCTTGCAGTCTAATCTACATGGGCGGACCCTGTATAGAGTCCTAGTGGGGGGGTCTATAGAATTCAGACTGTATATATAAAGCTCCATCTAAATGTATATCACTAAATAAATACCTTATAACAATGACTTATCACTGAGTCTTTAAATGTGGTTATGGAGAAAGCATTATGTACTTTTGAAACAATAGATTGTACAATTTTGTATAAAAGCGAGCAAACCTGATGGACACACAAAATAAATGATCTCTATAAAACAGCGCCAATCATACTCTCAAATTAGGCACTGACCTGCCCTCTCCCCACCCCACCTCCTGGCACACAGGCAATTTTATTGTAATTAATATCCATTATTTCAAAATTCAGATAATTTTGTTCTCATTCAAGTGAGGTGTCAAGTTTCTCACTCAAGCTTAAGAACCTTTTTCAAATATTACTGCAAGAAATAAGTGCAAGAACAAAGCCCCTGGAAGCTTCTGCTCACTTTGAACAACAGTTGGATCTAAATATAGACCTGAACACATTTTGGCCCACTGGAACCAAATTCAGGACAGAACATCATTAGACACATATTAACAACCTTGTAGATCTGAATGTTTTTGGGGCTGAAGAAAAAGCATTTGTGTTTTATGCAATGCAACTTTTTTACACATTTAAATGCCTGAGTTTATCTGGCCCTGTGTCTAATTATAAAATAACACATTATTTCTGGAACATCCAGCAGGTAAAGTTTATGAGATGAAATACTGCTTTTCTTTTGTTTCCCTGATTTCATATATCATTTCTTTTCACTTCTGTACCAAAGCTAGACATTAGTTCTAGTTCTCACATTGCATAAGTTCCAAGAAGCATAACCAGAAAGTTATTGTGCCACAGGAAAGTTTCTAACTGGGTTAAGGACCATGTGTCAAGTTGACACTGTACATAGCATTTTTGTATTTCTACAGCTCACTATTGTTTCAGCAGGTCTTTGACCTGGTAATGTAAGTTTTTCCTCTGTCCTTGGATGTCAGCAACCCATCATTCAAATAGGAAAAAACAGCCACACACACTTCCTGTGACATGGTAGTAACTAGGAAGAGAAGCATCATGACAAAAAGGCTTTTGCCTCAAGCTGCCTTTGGTCAGAATACAGTAACATCTGATGAAATTTTTATCTTTTTAAAGGAGAGAACTAGGTAGAGAGCAGCTTTGGCCATACTTCAAAGGCACTACAAATCCAAAGGCAGTTTGCCTCTTGGCTGCTGCTCTGACTCCTGTGCACTGGCAAAATTCTCAGAAATACCAATGCTCACAGTTTCCAATCAGCACTATCAGGCCTGTGATTCCACACTGCATATTTGTATTTCAACCTGCTCTTTACCTATTCTCCCATGAGAGATTCAAGAGGGACACAGCTAAAAAAACAAAAAGTCTACAGGGCCTGATCCTATAAGTGATATCAGAATTAGGCCCTGTTAATATAACGGCTGGTAACATTTACCCAAAAAATTGCAATTCTTTAGGGCAGTTTGGAAGATTAGGCAGTGATAGCTTGGGAAAAAATATAACTTACTCTCATTTTCTACTTCTTGCTTCTGAAACTGCTCCAGGAGGCTTTGTGCCCTTTTCTCTGTGTCAGAGCCAGGCATGATTCTTTTAAGGTAATCCAGCAGTTTATGCAAACACACGTAATCCGGTGGCTCTCTGAAGTCTTCAGAACACGGATCAAGCCAGGCTCTCAAGAGTGAGGCTATTGTACTGAAAACAAATACATTGAAAAAATCTGGTCATATTCAATCTTTATAACAGCAACATTTGTCATTCAAACCCGTGTAAAGAAGATGAATATATTACCTCTGCTATTAGCGAGCAAGGAATTCTGATCTGGGGGCATTTTTACGTAATCATGGTCTAATCTCACTTACACACATTTTACCACTCTTAATTTCTGATCAAAATTAGTGAATGAGTACTGAATTGTATCCTCATGATGCAAAACCTAGGACAATCATAACTATTTTTAGCTGTATCAAAATCCTCCAATTTGATCCAGTATTATGGCAAACAAAGACCCAGGCAAAACACAAACATCCTGCCCCAAGCACAACCTTTACACAAAACATAAATCAAACTGGCTTTTATCACTTTGTACTTTTTTGCATTCCTTTCTTATTGCTACATTTGAGTCAATTTTTGCAGTGTTTCTCTCCTAGTGTAACACACACAAGAAATGAATATTTGAGTGGATAAATTTTAGCTAAGCAGTTGATACAGATTTTGAGGTTTGTCAGTGTCTCACCTTGCTTTCCCACAGACATGCATGAATAATTCCCATTATTGTGTATAGATATGATGCATAAAAATGTACGAATTACCATATGGGTCAGACCAGAGGTCCAACTATTCCAGAACACTATCTCCACAAGTGCCAAGTAGCAGATGTTTGAGAGGAAGAGTAGAAGAAACAGGATAGAGTAATGCATCCTCTATCATGATGCTTTCTAAGTCACCAGGCATACGTACATCCCTAGGTCCTCTGACTAACAGCCCCAGATTGACAAAGTTATACAGGATAGTTCCAATCTTTTTCTGAACTTGGTTATACTCCTGGCCTCCACAACATCCTGTGGTGATGTGTTTCACAAATTAATTGTGTGTGAAAAAGTACTTCCCTTTGGTTGTTTTAAACCTGCTGCTGGATAATTCAATGAGGTGGCCCTAAATTCTTGTATTGGGAGACAGTAAATAACAGCTCCCTGTTCACTTTTTCTATTAATGATTTCACTGACACCATAATATCTTCAGTCACTCTTTTCAAAGACTTTTTGAGCCTCTCTCACATGGTTGCCACTCCATATTCCATATAATCTTTATTGCTCTTCTCTGTACCTTTTCTTATTATAGTATATCCTTTCTGAGGTGGGGTGAACAAGAAAGGCTGTCCACTACTAGAAGCCTTTATGCCTTAGTTATATTGGCAAAAAAGGTGCTTTAATATAGAGATGAATCGAGCCTGAACAGACAAGGTTTATTATCAGCATACACAAATGCTTTAAAGTGGAATATTTAATACGGGCACACACACAGATATTCTATATCAGTGGTACCCAACTTTCTCATCCCGCAGGCTGAATGGGCATGGCCAGGTCCCTCCCAAGGCAGATCTAGCTGTGAGGGGCTGCATAGCCCAACTATGATTTGTATGCCCAGGGCAGGGGCAGGGCTCCAATGAGTGGCCCCAATCTGGATGCATGGGGGAAAAGCAGCCAGTCCTGGTCCCAGTCCTGATCTGGACGCATGGGGAGAGGGCAGTTTGAGCCAAAACCAACCCCAATCCAGATGTGTAGGAGAGGGGAAGGGAAGAGTGGCCCTGATCTGGATGTGGGGGGTGAGGTAACTGCCGGGTCCTAATCCAGACATGTTGGGGGGAGGAGGGAAAAGCGTGGCTCAATCTAGACTCACAGGGGATGGCCTAGCCCATATCCCTCTGCACAGGCAGGCTGGATCCAGCCATGTAGAGCTTCCACTGCTCCCTGCTGCCAAATGTCCGACTCATGGGGGAGCCCTGTGGGCTGGATGTTATGGCTCTGTGGGCCAGACTGGGCCTGTGGGCTGGAGGTTGAATACCCCTGTTCCATACCAAGCTCTAATGAGCCAAGAAAACCTGAAGGACAGCCTGTTCTGACTGTTCCTAGTTCAAGAAGATAGTAACATTTTAGCCTTCAAAGGCCTTGAGAGACATTAAAGTACCATTATTCTATTGATAGATGACATGGAGAGAAAGCAAACTACTTTTTATAAAAGCCCCTAATTTTATGTACCCAGCTTGAGATGCTTAGCACTTCAATTCACTGAAGCACTAAGGAACCAGAATTCTCAGGACTTGGGATTCTAAAGTGTAATACTCAAAACCTGAGACGCTCACGGTTAACAGCTGCTTTAATAATGTTGGCTCAAGTGACCAGTCGAAGTCCCACAAAATAATTTATTTTTGAGCCCAGACTTGTGCCCTTGTATTGTAAACCCTTTCCTCATTAACTGAAGTTAAGGTCTATTATGCCACTGGCTGCATAATGGAAAGGGGCACAGTGTGAGACTGTGCAAGAAGTTAGCTAAAACCTTAATGCTGCTTTACAGTTTCAGGTAAAAGGCAGGGTAGATTAGTACCTTATGACCTAAGTAGAGGGGTGTGTGTGTATTTTTAATGAGTTGAAGCTCACTTCAGATGATGTGAAAGGCTGTGCAGAAAACAGAGTATAAGAAGGAGAGAGAAATTAAAATACAAAAGACAAGAGGGGAGGAAAGAGAGAAAGAGCAGGGGGAGTGAGGGAACCACTTTGCAACCAAGAATCTCAAATAACCTTGCATAAGTATTACAGCATACCTTGTGATACAGCCATATGTCATTAGCTCCATTTTAAAAGTGGGGAAATTGAGGCAACTACATATTAACTATTTTGTCCAGAATTACATCAACTATAAATGACTGAGCTAGGTATAAAAATCTATATTGCCTGACACCCTATGATATGCTTTAATCATACTACTTGTCTTTTTCTGTTGAAGAAAATGGTTTTTAATCCTCCACTGGCTTACTATTTGACATATTTTCCCCTATTTAATCTAAAGCTTCTTCCACTTCCTTTTCTGACATGGACCACCATCCAATTTCTGGCCACAAAGAGTAGTTTGAGAGCAGCAAAATTGCTTGGTTAGACTGAGTGGCGGGAGCAACTATGAATGACAGGAGCAGAGCTTCACAAAGCCTTCCCAACCAAGTATACAAAACTTTCTTGGTTTAGGATTTCATTATAAACTCAGAACAGACCACACAGCTCAAAAGGTTTCTGAACAGTAGAAAGTGATTTTGGGCCAAATCCTGCCATACTTATACAAACAACACTCTTATCGAGTAAAATCTGAGAAAGGATGTGACAGTCTAAACCCTTTGTGTTTGTTAGCTTTCTTCTGAACAGACCTTGCCCCTCCATTTGACCATAGGGCGGCAGCCTTATTGTGACACAGACTGGAACTTGTGACCCAGTCATCTGTGGGTCAGATGTCTCTTTCCCCCAGTGACCTGCCAGTTGCCAACTCCTTTGGGGCACAGGTCAGCTCAAATGCTTTGGAGCAGCAGGCTCCACAGCAGAGAGGAGTGACGTGAGGGGGGACAGGCAGCACAGTGCAGCTCCACGACACAAATACCCTGTGCCGAACTGGTGCCCCATGTGGCCAGATCAGCAAGCTCCTTTGCTGGAAATAAATGTAAAAGATACGTTTATTACAAATATAGATTTTTCTGCTTTTATTTCCATACTGTGTGCTCAAGAAGTTTCTTTCTGTGTTAGAGGTACCAGTGGAATTCAGGCAACAAACTGGATTGAGCATTCTCTTGCAAGAATTTACCATTTTGATGCCAATTTCAAACTGACAGCTCATACACAGCTTTTTTGTGTTAATATTGTTTGACACATTTGTATATTTAGCAGTTTCCAGAGGCTCTGATGATAGACACGTTCAAACATACACTACAAAATAAACAAAGTTTAATATAAACCCAATCTCACAAAGTGGAGTTGAAAAGTTCATGGCACAGACACTGATTTTGCCAGCAAAGCCATTTCAGTCAAGAGGGAAGAAGGAAAGAAAATAAAAAGTATGTTGAGCAGACAGTGGCTGCAGCCTGCTGACCTATCACCTGATTATTTAATTGGTATGTCAGGGGGAGAAGTTTTCTGGAGAAGGGTTGGACAAGTGCCCATATTGTGTAGCATCTCTATGCTGGATGTCCCTGGGAAGAAACTGCCTGTACTCGACAGACCAAGAAACAGATAGGAATGGGAGACCTCTAAGGAAAGCAACATTAGGAAAGCAACGTCACGGAATCCATTATTTATCCATGGTTTGCTCACTATAACTCTCCATCTGACATTGCACATTGTAGTGTGCGTGTGTTGTTGGCTGTAGAAGAATATTTTATTCTGATTCTTGTTTTAAAACCAATACATTGGCAGGCTTGATTCAGTAATGAGTTTAAGCTCTATAGTTGTCAGAGGAGTTCCTGATAGGAAGCTTGTCTATGACTGGGCACGTAAGATTTTTAAAATTCTGACTCAAACCAGAAGTGTTCAGGGAGCTGGAAGGGGGCAAATGTAATTTTTGCCACCTTTAAAAATGGAGATTACAATCCCACACTTCAATGGAATTTTTCCATATTGTGATGTGATGTGATGTGATGAGACTGTAGCAACCCCAAAGCTTTCATGCTCAAAATAAACAGGACATGGCAAACTAAAGGCAGAGAGTCCTCTATGGGTGCTGACAGACACGGAGGTCCCAACTGTAACTCATGGCACTTTCACATAAAGCTCCATGAATTAGAGTGACCCCCCCCCAACCCAAAAGATGTTCATTGTTGGGTCAGGGGGCGAGTGAGATGGAAATGAACTACACTTTACAGCCAACCCAGTGGAGGAGTCTGGATGCAGCCTCTCCCCTCTAGACCCCCCTCCCCCCAACTCCAGTGCTGCTCCAGTGAAGGAAGCAAGGGGGGAGAAAGGGAGGGGCGGGAAGGGAACTGCAGGCTGGGGTTCACCCAACCTGAGCTGGGGTGGGGCACGAGGTGGGGTGGGGAGGCTCCAATCCACCTGCCCACCCTCCAGCTCAGGTCAGGCAAACCCCAGCTCACAGCTCCCTCCACCTCCTTTGTCCCTGCTGGGGACAGCGGGGCATGCGGGAATTCCTTGCTCTCCCTGCTC